CATCGCGGAGTAGGTGAACAGAAGTTCGTCTCGGTCGTTTCTCTTGAGCAGCGCCTGCTTGTTTCTGGAGCTGACTGAAAAATGCTGCCCGGTAGCGGTATGTCTTTGCGGGAGCAGCTCATAATACAACATTCCTCACGAATCCCAGAGGTAGCAAAGAAGACAGTTTTTGGGGGAAGGTCCGATTTTGCTTGTGTCGGCGGGTCTTCTCCTCGAGGGAGCCACACGGCACTGTGCTTGTTAGAATCGTAGAGGACCCAACTCTCATCTCTCGTAATCATGCCTTCCAAAACTCCTTTCGGTGCGGACAAAGAAGGAGAAACTGACAGATTGATTATCTCGACTGAACTCGATGCTATGTCAATGACATGAGGGATGTCCATCGAGTAGGCGCTTTCATTGCGAGGGCGGGGAAACCGAGGGCTGTGGCTGGGTGCACGCCGAGTCTATCACATAGGTAAGCGCGCTACTCTCCGGTATCTCCCCTTCGACAGCGACGAGACGGTGATCCTTCCACTTCTTGGGGCTTTCATCCTTTATTTATCTTCGAAAGCCGAGTCTCCTCCTCGAAGCCTGCGAACCAGAGCTTGGCACTGATGATGGAAGTGGTGTCCCTTCCCAATGCGATGCTGATAATGTTGACGGTTCCCACTGCTCCTGTGCCGCAGCGCCATTCATTGAAGATGATCGCTCGAAAGTGCTCTTGTGGAATCGACATCATGATTAAAGTTAAAAAAGGCAATCCCGGCTACAGATACCTACTGTGGGCGTCGTTAGCATCGTCGCAGCAACTTTGCCATCGGACGCATGGACCGTAATTGCCACCGTCGCTCCTCCCATGCCTTGGCCAAACAACTCGTCCACATCAGCTAACCGCTAGATTTACATAATTGGCCGATCTACAGTGGAGCGCGACCAATCTCGATTCTTCCTTCGACTTCTTTTCGTTCTGCACGTTCAATTCGAACCAACTGCAGAGTTACTTCGAAGTGATTGTGCCACGATCATTTGGAGCTGTGATACATTCCACTTCACAGCAACTTGCAGTACATAATGAGAATGCTCAAGATGATGAGGTGAATCTACCTTGTCAAGAGGACAGTTTGTGGGAAAATCTATTGTCGTTGATTACATTAAAAAGCTGTTTTGAAATTCTTGCCTCGACCCCTATTCATAATGAATTTCAATTCCACCGCCTTGTATTGCTTTTTGTTGAACGAATCGTCCAAATCTAAATAAATAGCGTAGGGCTCACCAGCCAACTTGAAATCTTTGCACTGCATTTTGATCTCCTCGTCCTTTTTGTTATCGCCACCGCTTGCGAACCCTTTTCATTAGCTATCCCTATTCAGCAGAATTCTGAAGTCCAAATTTTCGAACTGGTGATTTTTCCTCCAACGTGCACTTTATCATCATTTAAATTGAATGGTATCGTATAAGAGATTCCGTACTATTCCCTCGTATTCAGCCCTCTTTGAGTTTTCCTTTTAACGAGTTGCTATGCCCAGTTCAACAGAATGACATTTCTCAGTAATTATTGCTAGAGGGGACTATGAGACGTGCGATGTTGCATCCAATATGCCCATGAGAGATCCAAATACAACGAGATTGGGATGAGACATGCCGTTGGCAAACTAGAAGTAAATCACTGGCTTGGAAAACATCAATTTCCGTATCCAAATGGAAGGGAGCATCCAATGAAACAGGGCCGCAATGGACGCAAAGTCATACTCATTACGGATGACAATCACAGGTAAATTTACCGGGAGAGTCCACATCAGATCACGGAATCAGCTGTAGCCCGAAGACTTTTGGGATTCCTCTATTCCAGTGGGGAAGGATACCTAATCTTTATAGTTCACAATTCAGTGTCAGCGTCACTTACTGAACTCACGATGGCAACAGAACCTCGGACTAGTGCAGTGTTGATTTCTATGTGACTGAAACAGCGCGTTGAGGACATCTCCACTTTCTTTTGAGCTCATAGTCGGACGTATAAATTCAACCTCACACCATAAAAGGACAGGATACGAAAAATAGCAAAATGCTCAGCACATTTAACCCTTTCTCAGTGATCGCCTGGAGCTTGTGTTTCCATCATGATGAATGCTTTCCACGTATTCATCACATAGCGCGAAAGCAAGAGACTTCTCTGCTCATGTCACACATTCAAAAAGAGCAAGTGTATCCGGAAAAAGACCACTAGCCATAAAACTACAATGGAACTCGTATAAACTGTTTTCTTAACATAAAAGACCAAGGAAATCGTTTTATGAACTGCAAGTTGCTGGGAAGTACATTGTATCACAACTCCAATATGATCCTTATGATTGCGATACAATCACCTCGAAGTAACCTTACAGTATTCTAAAGATGAAGTGTGCAAAGCGATGTCAGCGTTAGGAAATACGCCGGAAGAAGAATTGAGATTGGGAAAGTGAGGGAACGCTGTTCTGGCGCGCGCTGCACTGTAGATCGGCCATTTACGTAAATCTAGCGGTTAGCTGATGTGGACGAGTTGTTTGGCCAAGACATGGGAGAGCGAGTGTGGCAATTACGGTCCATGCGTCCCGATGGCAAAGTTGCTGCGAGGGGCCGCGCCAAACGACATAGCAACATTACTACTGCGCTTTGAATGTAAAATGATCGACCGCAATAATCTAACACGCGAGTACAGATTGCCAGGTTCAATCAATAAGATAGTTTGGACTTTCGAAAAATCGGCTCATGACTTTTTTACCATCCCAGGTATTTGGTGGATAGTGGTGGTGTATTTTGGAGGAGACAACATCAGAGATTCAAAAAAGTTAGTATCGAAAAATAGCCGAAACCCCCCCCCCCCTTAAAATAGGTTGACCCATCACCAGGGTTGACCCATCCCTGGTGATGGGTCAACCTAATTTGGGTAACTTCTTACCACGACAAATAAATCAATAAACGTCACAATTACCAATCCGTTGAGCCACAAGTAATGCAGCCAGGATGAACTTCCGCATATATAAGTTATCAGTAAGATCAATTGGCCAGACAATATCTCTTGTGATGTACGGCCATTACAGTTCAATTTGCAATGCGAAGAGCAATAGAATGAGCCATATAAGGGCCGAGGATGACTTGTAAAGTTCGCTCTTTATCTCAATGCAGATTTTCGTCCAGCATTGATAATAATCTTATTAATCTCGTTAGAAAGAAGCGATTACCTGCTTCACGACCAACACATTTGCTACCCTCGCGTTATCAATCGATAAGGTGTGAGGCAGTAATTGTTGGACGAGTGTAAGCCCATGGAAGATATGATACGATGAGATAAGAAGGTGCGGCTGCTTGATAAGAGGTGCACTCCAGAATGAAAACGGGACGATAACGATAACGGTATCATATCTAGCACGCTCTTATCGCACCCCTTTCCACATCGATAAGTCTTGGTTTTTGCTGAACGGAAGTGGATTTCGGCGCCTTATCACTCCGTTGATAAGGCGCCACTGCCACTGAAACTTCACGTGTTCTAACATTGGGCAGGACCCCTATCCACTCCAGTACACAGCTTTCCTTATCGTCCCTATGAGAATTATCGTGACCACTTCCTTTAAGGCTCACTAACCATCATTTCTCGTACGCGAAGCCGGCCTATTGTATCTCTCTCAGAAAACAAGTCTCTCCCAAAATGTGATCCAACTCTCTTGGCTACAAAAGCAGCGCCATTACGAAAGATTCCTCTCGATACGCAGTCGACACGGTTTACGATCACGTTGTTCAAAAGTAGTCGAGCAAATTTCCGAGAACAAATCTTCCAGCATGAGTTCGAAGGCTTACCAAGCCGTGACGATTTTCGCCTTACTTCTTATGCTTCTCAATGATGGTCTCTGTCTCTCAGATCGTGGAAGGGCCTCCTTAATAAGAGTAAGTATAAAAAGAGCACCAGGTGAAAAATGAACCCTTGATTAAACTGCTTTTTAGGCCTTCCGAGGAATCGATCTCGACCAACGCCTCGTAAGACTGAGGAACCTGCGCGTGGTCGACTTGGATCAGACTTCTTCTTTGTCGGCTACATCAATAAACACCACAGAATATGTTGGATACTTCTACTTTATACAGCCCTTGTTCTATTTAATAGTGAAACCCAATGATTTCCCTTACTTCAGGGACCAACGGGCGCGAATGCTGGCTCTGGAGGAGGATCGATCATTGACAAAAATCGCCTGGAAGGGGTTGACGAGTACTTGTTTGAGGGCGATATTAATCTTACCGAGTAGGTCCACATTGTTGGCTGTAGCCCTAGAAAAAATGAGCGCTGTTGCAAGAGGGCATGTAGTTTCAGCCTATTTGAAGCGCGTGAAACATCTTTTTTTGTTGAAACTAAACTACAAAGCCTCCCAGTGGACGAGTCCCTAGAGTTTCAATTTATTTTGGTAATTTTAATTTCCAACAAAGATCGTGTCTGCCCCCTCCTGGGCTTTGTCCTAGGTGATGCCCGTATCTTACATAGCGCCGAAAAGTGTATGACGCACAGTGGAGATTGGGAAAGTAGGCTCCTGAGAGACTAATGCCTAATTTGTCTCACAAATCTTGCCGTTCTGGTGAGATCGCTTTGAGGGCGCTCTGACATCTCTTCAAAGGTCCCAAGCAGCCCTCCCAGCGTCCGCTTCTGGTCTGCTCAAATTTCTAAAGCTCAATAAGTTCATGTACCGTCTGGATCCCATTAAATGAAGCGATCACGCTGGCTTCCACGTGGATCGCCGAACTCCGCGTTATCAACCGATAAGGGCGGAGATAGAAGTGGTTGGACGAGCATAACCTTATGGTAGATACGATACGATTAGATAAGAAGATACGGCCGCGCATGAAAATCGAAGTCTGAAAACCGGAAGTGGGTTTGGCGCCTTATCACGCCGTTGATAAGGCGCCACTGCCCCTGAAGCGTCACCTGTCGGCCCATTGGGTAGGACCCCTACCCAATCCACTATGTCACTTTAACTATCGTCTCCATAGAAATTTCGTGACCACTTCCTTTAAAATTCGTAAGGGCACATTTCATTCTGAAGTTGGCCAACTGCATTCACTATGATTATTTTGCGGCAACTTCACAACTAAAACGCTCTGTTCTCTAATCTCACCCCCTTCTTCCCTTCAGTGAAAGTGACAAAGTGGCAAGAATGGCATACGATTAGTCACAGTAAGACGGAAGCAATGGGGAACCAGGGGTGGACGTAAAGTCAACAATAATGGAAATATGTGGCATCATAAGTCGCAAAAAAGAGCTACTCCTGCTTTTTCTCCCGCTATTATCACCTAGCTGAATTATAGAAGTTTCAGGGTGCCTTTTGAGATTCTATAGCCCTTGGCCTGTGCCGAGCAGGACCATCGTTCAGTTTCAGGGAGGAAGTAGCGGCAAGAGGCGCCATTCCCGCGCACGATCCGGGTGTCAAATCTCGGATCGAGTGCCGCCCACGTCAACCCTGCTTTGAGGCCGGTCAATTCGTAGGAGTTCCAGCTTTGATGCCTGGTGCTGAACATCCAATCAACCTACATAATTACTGCCCTTTAGAAGGGTCATATCCACTGCTATAGTCCTCACAAAGAAAGCTTGAAAACAATTGAAATGCACAGCTCCAAGTTTACTGTCGGATAACACTATTCTACCATTGAATTACAGAGAACAACTCTCAGCACTTGAAGCGAGTCTGAATAGCAGTCGCCAAAAACGGCAAGCTTCGAAGACTGCTCCGCTATGGGCAAACAAAAAGGTCTTCTACTATTTTGACCCAAGTATTGGTACGTGACAGTCAGTGATTCGAGAGATTTTCACACGCCAATATCACTTCTACATCTTCCCTTTCAGGTGATCCCATGAAATCCCTCGTCAAGAAAGCGCTGAACTATATCAGCGCTCGCACATGCCTCACCTTTGTGGAGAACGCCACAGCCGTTAACCGCATTCGTGTATTCAGCGGAGATGGATGTTATTCGAATGTTGGGATGATCGGAGGTGAACAGGAACTATCGCTGGGCGATGGTTGCAATACGGTAAGTTAGAAGTATGAAGCAGAGTCGTTCCCAGCACGAAAAAGCAATAGGGCCATTGTGGATATTGTTATAAAGCGAACCCACGACAGCTCATGGAGTGCCATCATATAGTTGGCTAGATTCGACTTTAGTTTTTTTCCTGCGAAAATGGAAGGAAGAGAGGTGGAAGTAAATCAAAAGCTCAAGCCAAATTTTGTCCAAGGTTTCATTTCGAAGAAAGCTCTCGTCACCTTCAATACTCGTACCGACTGGATTCATTAGAAAGGCGGTATGCTAACTTAGGGATAGAATTTTGTGCAAGTCTGCTGCAGAGCCCATTTGACCGGCGGTTGGCGGTGTAAAAATTGGCCAGCCAGAAAATTCGATTGTAGTGAATTATTAAATGCGGTCCATATTGAAGCTACAGAAGTGCACGAAATAGCGCAGTTTAAATTATTACTGACAACTGCTACTCGAACGTGTGAGATGAGGTTTCGAAAAATTCATGCGCGCAAAGGCCGATTCCTAAGGGGTACGCATGAACGAAATTACCAAGCTCATGGGCGGTCGTTTCGAATAGGAAATATTAATAGAATAATTCAAAGGAAAGTTCGAAGGGGTAGAATCATAAGTCGCTTGGTTTACAGGGTGGTCCAAAATTATGAGGACCAAGACATTGTGTCGTTAAAAACGCATAGTAGCTTGATGGAACAAACCAACTTCAGGGAAGTATTTGTAACTCTTATCTCAAAGTAATTCCAGAATAGAATTGAGATCTGCCACCTGCCCGTTTACACGAGCCTTCAGGCCCCACTGATTTCTAATCTCAGCTATGTTTTTGTCTTTTGTTAAGTGTGCACATACTTTTGAAACAAAGAAAAAAATTTCATCCAAAATTTTTTTTTCGAAAGTGAAGCGATATTATCTGCTTTGCTTCCATTGATAGGTTATCGCTTA